TAACAATAAAAACACATAAAAATACATAATTCCTATCATACTGAACAGAACCCCCAGATAGCTTGGATCTGAGCGCTCACTATATCCGAACAGCGCTCAGATCCCACAAACATTGTCGAAATCACCATGGGGTTAAAGTTTAGCAACAAGTTCCAACTGGTCTGGCAGTGTCCCTGGGACAGCGCCCTGCTGGAGAACAATAGACAGGAAACGGGGGAGGGGCACACCTTCTCATGTATTCAAAGGGGCAGTAAAAGTGTTTCAAAATCCAATAAGCCCAAATAATGCTTACATAGGGCAAAGTCTCCCAGGGGTCATAGTCACATGGCAGGAGGCTGGCAATCAGTCTTCTCCAATGCCCAGTGACTAGTCTGGTTCTGCCACACTTACCCCTCAAATTGATATGAGGTATTTTCCACATGGAAAGAGATAAAACATAAAAAAGATACAATAGTGGGATACTGTATAATTGTGAACTAGATATATACTAAAGTGAGTGTATGTACAAACTCACATTTTTCTGAGCCTTTTTCGATTTCGGCTCAGAACCGAAAGTCGGTCTGGATTTTAAGGTGCACCAGAGAACCTCCTTGTATGTATTCACTCCCCGTAGTCAATATAAAATGAGAAGAAACAACAATCTAGGTGGAACTGTATCAAACAAATCTCAAAGTAGAATATTTAAAATATCCTGCTCACCTTACTAGGAGCCTGTTTGATAACTGGCTCCAAAATTTCAGCCTGGTGTCAGTTTTTAGGGTGACACTACCCTTTTTAGGAACCAGAAAGAATCAAATGATGGTAGAGTAGATAGAGTATTATTTTAAAAGTTAGACTTTAATTATGAATAAAAATAAACAAATAAAATGTATTAAAATATAAAGATAAAGTCCTTCTGAAATCCTTCTCTGAGTCCAAGACGCATTTCACCCCTGAAAAGGGCTTTATCAATTGGTATCAGTTTTCCACTTCCTGGTTCCGTTTTTACTTCCATGGAGACCCATCCCTTTTTTCTCTTTAGCTAATCCTGGAGGTTCTTCGCCAGATGACCTCAGTCTTTAGTGATTGTGGGAATGTTCTTGTTTCCGGGTTCGTATAGCCGGAAGTGAAATCGGGACCTATTCCGTCACGTCACTTCCAGTTGCAACTTTGCGTACTGCATTACCCATATTCCTCCTCTTTGAATGAAATACCTCATTTCCGGTTCATCCGTTTTTCGGAGTGTTGTAAAGTATTCAAAGGGGTATAAAAAGAGAAGAAAAAAAACGGAGGAGTCAGAGAGAGACATCAAGCTTGAAATTGACATATGGAGAATATTTATATTTATATTTTTAAATACAGATATTACATAAATATATTATCACTAAAACAAGACAAACTTTATTTAAGATGACAGAACTTAAAATCCATTTAGAACAGCATAAAAAATACACAATAAAAACTTTTGTTTATAAGTAATGACATAATTCAAAGTCTTCATTAAGACCCATAGGAGTAAGAGTATTTTGTATGGCTAAAATTTCTAACAATCGTGGATCACGATTATGTTTCTCTTTAAAATGCCTTGACACGCTATCTTTATCATATCCATTTTTTACATTTCTAATATGTTCGTTTAGTCGGACATTTAAAGGTTCTCCCTATAAATCTTAATTGGCACGTACATTTTAGTAGGTATATGATATTTTTTGTAAAGCATGTAGTCATCTCTTTAATTTTATAAACTTTCTTTTTGTTATGAGGATCTTTAAAAGTCTCAATATGTTTTTTCCCATTTTTGGTGTTCTTGCAGGCCAGACATAAGCCACATCCATAGAAACCATTATTTTGAAAGAACGGTCTCTTTTTTTTATATGATTCTTTACTAGAGTTTGTTGTAGATTTTTTGCTCCTCTATATATAATTTTGGTTGATCTGGTAAAATGTTATTTAAAATTGAATCCTTTTTGAGGATTGGCCAATATTTTGATAAACTCTTTTTTGTTTGTTTACTATTCTAAATAAAATCACATATAAAATGGATTTTTAAGTCCGATTCTTTGGCATTTTTTGTTTTGTATTTTAAAAGAGAGGTACGGTCTAGAATTTCAATGTCTTTGGTGGAAATCTCTAAAAATGCAGGCTAATATCCTTTAGTTAAGAACTGTTTGGCTTGGGTATTAAAAGTATCAACTTCTGAACAATTTGAGAATTCCATCCAAGAAAAACAAACAAAGCTTGGTTTGCTTGCCTTGTCGCGACTGGCCTCATGACTGACAACCCCACATTGATGTGCAGGAAGGAGCTGGGAAAAGCAGTGTGGCCTCCAATAGAGCATGACTAGAGCGGCTTGAGATCCCAAACTTTGGCAACCATAGGTATGACAGTTGTATCAATATTCAGTAGACACCCCAATGTAATTTATTGGTCTATATGTCTTTAATAGCTGCTCATAAGTTGGAAATCAGATGCATTACAAGGATGTTATTCACTTCACATTAATATGTAGTTTGCAACAGTGCCACCACTCTGTATATGCAGTACTTTTCCACACCTGATCTATAGTAATCCTAGTACAGTACTCCTAGTACAGTACTAGTATTTAGCGGTAATTAGCAATACTTAGAAATATGTATGATTGATTTCTAAGTCCCCCTGTATCTTGGGACCATGGATCAGTTTCGGTTATTGCTTTATGGCAATTGCTTTATGGCAATTACAGTATATATGTATTTACCTCTTATCTTTTGCTTAAATATCACGATTCTCATGAATATTATGCTGCTCTAACTACTGGGTTAGAACACTATTCCTCCATATGGCTTTATGCTTTAATTGCAAACTTGGGATGTTATGTGATATTTGTTTCTTTTTCACAGATCAGTTGCAACTGTTGTCTTCTTATAATGTAGCTTGATATTTGCTTACATTGCTATACATTGTACTTTTTACACTATGCACGACTTATGTACATGTTGAGATTTCCTAAAGTGATTTATTTATTTACTCATTATGCCGTTATGAGACCTGTTCTTATATGCATTCATTGATTATGACTGCAATTGATTTTTGTTGCCTATTGAAATTTTCTATAGTGATTCAGTTACATACCTTTATAGTGTTGTTTTATGTTTAGTCAGAGCAACATGTATTGATTAGTTATGACTGTGATTGACTTTTCCTGCCTGTGTTGGGTCTAACATATATATATATATATATACAATAGCACAGTTTCCTTGCACTCAGACTCTAGAGGTACATACCGGGTGCTTGTAGTCCAGGGAAAAGTCAGATATCTATATATCAAGTATGACCAGCACTCACGGATTTGATAATAGTAAAAAAGTTATAAGTTTAATCCATTAGTATTAAAAAAGTAGACAGCTCACTGTTTCAGCCCTTCCCTCATTACCTGTTAGGTCTGGCGAGTTGTCCCACCCACCACACTTCCTTTTTATAAGCATTTCATAAGGTAGGCCCTCTTTTATTTCAGGCCTACTACCTCGTCAGTTCCGGCACACCACAACTGACATTTCCATTCTCTGTTTGTCTTATGTTACTAATGCTACGGCTTTATGCCGTGACCACAAATGGAAGGCGTGGCCTGAAGTTGTGGGAGGGGCTTGGTTCCCCTTCTTAAGGAGCACCAGCCCTTCCCTCATTACCTGTTAGGTCTGGCGAGTTGTCCCACCCACCACACTTCCTTTTTATAAGCATTTCATAAGGTAGGCCCTCTTTTATTTCAGGCCTACTACCTCGTCAGTTCCGGCACACCACAACTGACATTTACATTCTCTGTTTGTCTTATGTTACTAATGCTACGGCTTTATGCCGTGACCACAAATATATATATATATATATATATATATATACACATATATATATATATATATATATATAGTTTTACTTTTTCACTACTTCATGTGTTGAATATACGTAACGTTTATGTTGCGCTGGTGGGACTCAGGTTTGTAAATGCCCATTCCTCATAGAGTTTCTTGCATATCTTCACTTGTTATGTTACGGGAAGGCATGGGGCAATGGAATTGGTATGTCTTTATACACAGGTTGCTATGATTTAGTACCAACCTCAATTTTGATCAGTCTCACTGTCACTTGGAGATGGTTATTTAAATATTTAAACCATGCTCTTTCATTCCTTCGTTTGTCCTGATGAAAGATAGTTTGAGGGCTGAAACGTTAACAAAACGTATGGCATGCAATTGAAAGTTATTTTGAACCATTGAACACAATTCCACTGAGGATACATTATCTGCTATACAGTTGCAGTCAAAATTAATTAACACTGATTTAAAAAATCAGGTTTATTGTACAAATTTATGCACTTTCAGCTATTTACAATGAACAAATCAAACAAAAGCAATTGAAATAGCTCAACACAATGAATGCTTCAAGTGGTTTCCCCAAATTCAACTGAAAATGTAACTTATAATGACTTCTCCAGTCTCAAAAGTAACCGACCCCCTGAATAGAATAACTTACAACAGCACAGATATGCAAAACAGGTGTTGTCTCTAGCTGGAACACTTGAAATATCTGGACTGACTAGAGGTATTTGAGTATCACATTTGACTGCAACATAGAAATATGTCTAAGTCGGGGACGGAGCCTGACTGCTAAACTGATCAGATGCGTACAGCTTGAGCTCCTACATTAATCATAGAAAATAACCTTTTTGAGACTGATTTTGGGGCTTATTTGCTCACACTTTGCTAACTCACAAGCAGGGGAGCCCGGGCAAGCGTTATCATACCTTTCTTTAACATTTCCACTAACGAATGCCCGAGGATCCTGTTGCGGCCTACTAGGGCCTGGACGGAGGCCTCCTCGCGATTTAACCCTCCGCATGGACCAGCTACACTCATACCCCCCCGGACCGGCGGTGGTCATCCCGGTCCACTCAGTGCTGACAGACCTGGCTTGCAAACACTTACCACAACATGCGAGCAGAGTATAACTGTGAACACAGCCTCATCATGGTGGGAGTTCCACTCAAGGATTCATGTGGCATGAGTCCTCTCCAGAATTCTCCCAGTGACGCCGTTGCAGAGTTTCAACTGCAGCTTGACCGCCATGTCTGATGCTACTGGCACAAGCTCCTGCACCGTATGGCAACTACCACAGCCGGACAAGGGAGCAGAACCTAGGAAAACAAGGAGCCGGAGACAAAGGGGCCTACAAAGTAGCGCAAAGCTCCAAAGTACACCAGTGCATCCGGTTCTTCACTCTCCTAGGCCGAGGGCCACAGGGAGCCTGAAAGCCCAGCATTATCCACCAATGCGGAGGATTGTCCGCGCTAAGCAGGGTCTGTCACCCAGATCCTCAGACCACCCTCAGCAGGAGATAGCCTTGGACTGTCTAAGAAACCGAGACTGTGGCACACAGATGCTGCTCATCCTCAAGGCCTGGGGCTGGAGAGGCATCCGATCCTTGTACCAAATACCTCCGAGAGGTACCATCATCCTGTTACCTGCGGAAATCGGCTGAGCCTGGCTGTTCATTGATGGACATACCCCCTCTGTTCAGCAACACTTTACATAGCATGCACAACACAGCACCGCTGTACATTTATTTCTGTTGACTCATTTTGTTACATAACTGCATAAGCACGAACAAGTGTAGTGTCCAAGGGTTATACTGTCAGCCTGAGGTTTCTTTTTTTGAAACCAACTTGTTATATCCTGATTCTCCACAGGTCTGTCTAACATGATTGCTACTGCTTTATAAGCATATAATGAGCATAGCAGACCTTGTACATTCTTCGTAGTTAACTGCATGTGTCCAGATATTATTCACGTTATTATTCTTCAGCATGCTTATGCCATGCCACGCTATACAATCTCACTCTCAACGTTTTATATGCATGTCATACTTTAATCAATTTACTATTGCACCGTACACTTGTCTCCATAATATTGATTATTAATTACTCACTTCTGAGACACGTCGGATATGTTAAGCCTGTTTATAAACACAAAAAATGTGTGCGATTTTCCATGCCACTGTTTAATACAGTATGTAAACATGTACCCTGTTGTAGCGCTTGTCGTTGTTCTGTACTCACCTGCACCACAAAAATAAAAAATAAAGAAATATGGCTAAGTCAAAAGAATGATCCAAAAAGTTAAGAGAAGAAATCTTCGCCCTTCACAAACAAGGAACAGAATACAAAAAGATAGTTAAGGCACTAATGTTCCTAGAAAAAACGTTGGATTGCATGCATCCTGGAAACCTGAACAGTGTGGAAAGCAAGATGGATTCATTGAAGTTTCAGGAAATCCTAAGAGAAAATGTAATGTCACCTGTGAGGAAGCTGAAGCTTGGGCGTCATTGGATCTTCCAACAAGACATTGATCCCAAGCATACTAAAATTCCACCAAGGCTCGGTTGCAGAAGAAGTCCTGGAAAATTCTACAGTGGCCATCACAGTCACCTGACTTGAACCACGTAGGAAATCTCTGGTGGTATTTGAAGAAGGCGATGGAAGCATGCAAACCTAAGAATATTACTGAACTGGAGGCTATTGCTCATGAGCAATGGGCTAAGATTCTTCAGGAATGCTGCAAGAAGCTGGTGTCTGGTTACGCACCTAATTTGCAGCAGGTCATAAAAGCAAAAGTGTGCCCTACTAAGTACTAAAGATTGAATGTGGTTGAATAATTTTGATACTGGAGAAATGATTGTAAGTTGCATTTTCATTTGAATTTGGGGAAACCACTTCAAGCATTTGTTGCTTTGAGCTATATCAAATGCTTTTAGTTGATTTGTTCATTGTAAACAGCTGAACGTCTGTCAATTTTGACAATAAACCTACTTTTCAATGGGGGTTGAATAATTTTGAATGCAACTGTATATATATATAAAATGAAAACTTAGTTTGATTAGATACAATTCAGGTAATTTGTATGCTGCATTTAATAAAATTCAAAAACTATGATAGCACATGAAGGGTTGAAATTGTATGCCTTTTGAATATGCACTTATTTATTTCCAATGTAAAAAAAATTCAAACACCAATGTGAGAAAGCAGTATTACACTTTTAAGTACGAATGTTCCATTTTTGCAGGTGTTATATACATTTGTCTACAGATGGATGCAACTTTGAAGTCCTTCCATGTAATTCCAAATAGCTCATGCAGGTTCTGTGTCTTGATACATTTAAGTTGTTCTTATTTCTGCCTAATGCCTGTGGAATGATAATGTAATGCTAGAAAATTTAGGTCTCAGTTTAATATTTTTGGATAATGTTTTCACACGAGTTAATATTTTTGGATACACTTTTACAATTATTTTTTTCAAAATAATAAAACATTAAAAAATATATCTTATATAAAAAACAATATATCAAAAAAATTTAAAATGTTTTTTAAAATAATAGCTTACTGAAGCAGTGTTGATGTATAGATCATGCCCCTGCAGTCTCACTGCTCAATTTTCTGCAATTTAGGAGTTAAATCACTTTGTTTATAACGCTGTAGACACACCTGCACGTGATTTACACAGCCTTTCTAAACACTTCCTGTAAAGAGTAATCTAATGTTTACACTTCCTTTATTGCAAATTCTGTTTAATTTTAATATTCTTATCTCTTGCTATGTTTGTAGCCTGATAGACACTGTAGTAGCCTCCTGTGTGTGATTAAAGTTCAATTTATAAATCAGGAGATAAAAACTATTAAAGTAAGTTACATCTAAATGAAAATGAAACCATTTTTGTTTTCATGCAGGCTGTGTCAGTCACAGTTAGGGGAGATGTGCTAGGGCTGCTTAAACAGAAACAAAAGTTATTAAACAGCAGTGAATTGAGCAGTGGAACTTCAGAGGCATGATACATAGACAAAAACTGATTCATTAAGCTAAAGCAGTTTGGGGTCTACAGTATGCCTTTAATGATGGGTTTAATTTCTCTTAATTTCTCTTCAAAATTATACACTCCGCTTTCCCCAGTACTAAATTTAATCCCACTCTAACCCTAAACCCAATAATTCTAAGCACACTTTAAACCACAACTATATCATCTTTCTCAAGTGTTTAATTCTCTTAACACTAAACACCCCATGCAATATAACTCTGGACACTTACCTCTCTATAACCTTAAACCTCGTTTACACTATCCACTTCTAACATTAGTTTAAACCCTGCATATACTCACTATACTCACATATTCAAACACAATCTATTACAATCAAAAATGAGCACATACATACATATATACATATGCAGCTGTCAAATATAAATGCATATTTTGTATGCCAGCAATTAATTCATTATACCTTCTTTATTTACCTTAGAATTCTGTGCCTACAGATACCTGACACTCAAATCCTGCCCTGGACTAGCAATATTTATTGTGTTCAAACAAATCTGCAGTAATAAAATCCACTATATTCAAATTAAGGTTGTAAATGTTATGATATTTTACACAATGTAATATTAATTTGTGAGCACAATAGTGCAATATACCATAAGACATGATATATGTGCATTTATTTATTTTTTCTTATTTTTATATGATATCCTTCTACACCTGGAAAGTAGCTTATCTGAAGCCAAAAAGATTGGAAAATAGCTATTGTTTAGACAAAATCAAATTATATACCAGCATGGTAGCCGTTTTAGATTAACTCATTATGCCATACGCCAAGGCTATGTAGGAGGAAACAGGGGAAAAAAGCAATTGTCTCCAGCATGAATTGGAGCAGGTGGTGTGTTATATACATTTAAAGCTCTGGGTAGACCTCTCATTTAGAAAAAAAAAAAATGAATAGTTCACATCAAGTCTAAAGCGGTTGAGCTATGCTTGATTGCACATATCACTAACTTTCCAAGTATTCCAATAAATATGAGGTAGTGAAGTGTTTAGGGTATTTTTCTGTGATTCAGGATCTTAAAATAACTCTCCTAAGGGGAACAGGTGTTCGCAAAGAACTTTATGATTTCTCTATTAAAAAGGAGCATTGCTATGGTACACCAGCAGAAAAATGATAGCACAATAAAGCCTAACTAAACCGTACCGATTTTAATTACTGGGATTAATTAGTTGGCTTAAAAATAAAATTAAAATTAAAAACACTTACTTAAATATGTGTTGTATAATAGTCTGAACGTTGATATAACAAATCACAATTATGGTAATAGATCTAGAAGTTCAGGTCCCCTAATAAACTGCTGATCACAGCAAATTATTATATAAATATTACATTTATATGTGGCAGTCTTTGTGGTTAATTTAATAAACCACGATTTGATATACAAAACATCAGCTAAAATAGTCAAGCTACAAAAAAAATCCCACTTTTCTACTTAGTTGAGTGAGAATGTTTTCCCCCAAATCTAATTTGCTGTTTCATAATTTGTCTTTAGTGGATTTTAGTAGAGTTTTAGTCGGTTTTGAACAAATAACATTCTGTTAGTGATATAAAATAAGATTCCAGTGATATTGTATTTTGCATTTTAAAGGATCAATGATCAGCAACCACAGAACAACAAAAGGACACTACATGCTAGACATTTTTAATGTATTTTACAGATTAAAAAAAAGAAAAAGACAAAATAAAAAAAAAGATATTTATCTTTTTTACTTTTTTCATTGAGGGTTTACTGATAGGCTGAGGGCATATGTACTTTGGAAAATATAAACATTGTCCTTTCTCAGAAACTGTATTGTTTTTCATTATTGGATAAAAAGAGGCAGGATCTATGCAAAAAAATAATTTTATTACGGTGAAGTGATTTGGGTGCTTGTAGTGTTGCTTTGAAAATGGGGTCATGGAAATCTAAAGTGTTAAAGAAGCATATCTAATTTAAAATCTATATATATATATAGTATATTGTTAAAGATTTATTGTGAACTGCAATTCATTCGAATTTGGGCTTATTGAGTGATCGGTTGAATTCCCTAAACAAAGCCGTAACAAAGCCGTAACAGAGCCGAATCATGAACCAACCAAAAAACGCAATAGCTGAGCATGCTTGTTTTGTTTCTTGATTCTGAATTCCACGAAATGCGTCAAAAAAAGAGATTAATGGGAAAAAAGAGATTAATGAGAAAAAAGATGATTGATATTTCAGGGACAGTCACTAAATGTTGATTTTATTCACAGATACACTGAGAAGTTACCATTAGAGGGAAGAAAAGAGCAGTAAAAATAAATCTATATCATTATGTAACAAAATATGATATATAAATATAGATTTTCTACTGCTCCTTCTATTTTTCCCTGTATTGATCACTTTCTGTCACTTGACCTGTGAACCAAATGGCATGAAAATGCTTCTATAAATATACTGCAAAATATGTACATAATATTTGTATTATTTATATATTATGCAGCACACTAATTGACCCACTTCCACAGCCTTTTGGTTTGCCTGATTCTTTTCTCAAATCTTTTGTGCTGAAATTCTGCCAAGCCAAACCGACATGTGTCCAAAATTGACTCATCCTGAATTTTTTTTTCAGTTTTGTAAAAATAGTTTGTCCAAACCAAATCCTCTCGTCGTGTACAAGTCTATTGTTAAACTTATAATGTTCCTTTAATTTAGAAGCTCACTAACCTTTCACGATGGAAATTTGAAGAATAATATTACTGAGATTCCGTGAGTGTCTAGTGTTATAATTGCTATAATCGTAGACACTACAATGAATTTGAAGATACATAACACACATACACATTGCCCTATAAGCTCGGTTCACCTAATCCTTGCTTTTATTTCTTGATGACAGTATATTTGTCTTCTCTACTCCCGCAAGACTCTATTTCATCACTATCTGTGAAGCCGAACTAATAAGTAGCTGTGTGGGGAAGCTACCTGAATGACCTTGTCTTGTCTGAACTCTAACAAATTTAATCCCCAGCTCTGCTGACAATTTCATCTAATATATGGGTCAGACTTCAAATGAATATGTTCAAAAGAATGTGCAATTTTTCCTACGCGTTTGAGAGCGTGTTACAATACGGACACACAATGCAATTTGGCATAAAATCCATGCATTTATATAAATACTTAATCTGAATAAGTGCACTTCACATCATAACTAGCCTCTGTTTTCTAATATTCCCCATGGAAATTACATCATATAAAAGCTACAATACAAAATAAAATTCCTCTAACAATAAAGAAATAACTCTTATATCAATACATGCATCTATTCATATTCCGGACTATTTCCATAAAAGATGTCTAGAATACAGAATGCATACTATGAGACTGACCTGGGTTCCATATAATCTGTTTTAGAATATCTAATTTAAGACGTGAAAGAGACTGCGATTCTTGCAGAAATGGATATATTTGTATGCAAACTCTTGATTGTATGCAAAGCAATTAGAATGTATAAATTATTTATGACAGCAAATTGACTTTTTTGGCATCTTTCATTTAGGATAATTGTGCCTTTGGATATTGAACCTCAGGGAGTAATTTAGTGCAAATGAATCTGTTGCTAAATGTATTTCTTTTCAATTGAAAATTGTTATTTTTTTTTTGTTTTACAAAATAGATATTGATTATTTTTATGAAGACATATCTTTCAGTTGCTAGAGCAAATATTGCATTATTTGTTACAGTTTTAACGGATTGATTAATTGTTATAAATTTAAACCTTTTCAGCAATTTCATATTTTTTTATTTTGGCGCTTATTCGAGACCAGGGCCTCTGCATGTGTAACAAAACACTATAGCATTAGGAATACAAACCTGTGTTTCTATTAGTATAGTGACCCTGTTGCTCGTTAGATAAAGGTGCCTCCTTTCCCTTTACCATAAAAATTTAAAAAAAAAAAATATTTATGTACCTTTCTCCAGCACCAAAGCATTCAGTTGCTGTTGACTTCTTTTCCTCAGGAAGACAGGAATTAGAGGTGAACTTAACCCTGCAATTTAAACATTAGTAGTTTCTAAAAAAAAAAATGCAAGTATTAAGAGGACAGGACCACTATACCCAGACCACTTAATTCGAATTAAGGGGTCTGGGTGACTATAGTGTCCATTTAAATACTCAATATTTATATTCCCTGAACCACTAATTATAAAAAGAAAAAGCACACAAAAAAAAAAAAAAAACACAAAATGTTTAAAACACAGTTAACACCCATGGCCATTATTTTATAGGAACATCAAAAATGAGTATAGATAATAAAATGTAAATGTATGCATTACTACATTAAGCTGAAATGAGTAAACATCCCCAAGGACTGGAATAAAGTTGATTAATTCTAATCCTTTTAGTTGCAAAATCTCTTTTTATTGGCTTTCCATGACAGCATTAGAAAAAGGTAGTGCCTCCCCATCAAGTTATAGGACACAACATTTCTTTGATTAGCCTTTGCTTTAACCTCCTGCTTGTTGGTTTTGTTTTTTTCATTTTTTTTTTCTATTGAAAATATATAGTATATCTTTTTAAAATATACAAAAAAAAAGCATTCAATGAACAAATAACATAATGTATCGTAACAAACATAATAATAAAACATTTACACAAACTAAGCTTACAATTATTTACAGCATCACAATTAAAAATATCCATATGAAATATTGCATAGATTTTGGAGTGTGTTATATCTGTAAACCCAAAATATGAATAATATTAATGAAATATTAAGCATAACTTAATGTAAAACAAAAAGAACGAATAATAAAATAAATACAGAAGGGGAAATAGAACTTGGAAGGCGAGGGACAAGGTAGAAGGGTATCATCCTATATATTTATTTATTGATGTTTGGTTTTTATTTGAATAACTATCCCTTCATCTCTTTGCCTAGATACATATCCCCCTCCCTCAGCTTTATTGCAAGCCTATCTGACCCTCACATATCTTTATTCAACAGCCTGATTTCAGAATTATCAAGCCCCAATACTGCTGTAAGAAAGTCTGATACCCACCCCTCCCCTCATCACCCCACCCCATGCTTATTATTACATTTATAGATTGTCTGTCACACCATAGGCGTCGCGCAGGAATTTTTCAGGGGGGTTGGCATAATTGTAATTACATCCATGCTTGGTCCCTTTTTGACAGTGTCATGAAAGGGAAGGGGTATAGTCATTATCACATAAAGCCAGGGTGAATAGCGTTTTCACAACTATGATGTCAGAGATACATGTATGTATTGCTGACACTATAGTGTTCCTTTAATCAAATTAAAGGAACTTTCTGGTCACCATAACAACTTTATCTAAATGAAAATGCTATTATGCAAGCCCCTGGGTGCTCTCTTTCCTTTAAGGAGTTAAACCGCTTTCAAATGGTTTAACCCCAAAGGCTTCCTCCAGCTCCAGATCTCCAGGTCGCTCAGTGGTATTCGGCTTCTGAAACGGAGTGTTAGGAAGTGCAGATTGATGTCAGGCATGGGTTGATGCAGATTGACTAGAGTGATCAGTTGACGCTCTAAGCCAATCGCTAGTGCTCCTTCTGATTATTTCTGCTCTTTTACCTTTGTGCTCCTTCTGTCCCTTTCTGCTCCTTGCAGACCCTTCCTTCTCCGTGCTGACCCTATCTGTTCTTTGCTGACCCTTCCTTCTCCTTGCTGACCCTTCGTGCTCCTTACTGTCCCTTCCTGCTCCTTGCAGACCCTTCCTGTTTCTTTCTGCTCCTTCTCCTATGTTACCTTTGTGCTCCTTCTGATTCTTTCTGCTCCTTCACCTTTGTGCTCCTTCTGTCTTTTCCTGCTTCTGCTGCCCCTTTCTGCTCCTTGCTGACCCTTCCGGCTCATTTCTGTTTCTTGCTGCTCCTTCTCCTACTTTACCTTTGTGCTCCTTCTGATTATTTCTGCTCTTTTACCTTCGTGCTCCTTACTGTCCCTTCCTGCTCCTTGCAGACCCTTCCTGCTTCTTGCTGCCCCTTCCTGCTTCTTGCTGCCCCTTCCTGCTCCTTGCTACCCATTCCTTCTCATTTCTGTTCCTTTTTGCTCCTTCTCCTACTTTACCTTTGTGCTCCTTGCTGTCCCTTCCAGCTCCTTGGTGCCCCTTTCTGCTCCTTGATGTCCCTTCCTGCTCATTTCTGTTCTTTCTCTTTTCTGCTCCTTCTCTTACTTTACCTTCCTGCTCTTTGTTGACCCTTCCTGTAGGCTGTCCCTCCCATACCTCACTTACCTGATCTATAGGCTGTCTCCCCCTCCTATCCCTCACTTACCTGATCTTTAGGTGGATCCCCCCATCTCTAACTTACCTGATCAGTAGGTGGATGAGCCCATCTCTCACTTACCTGATCTGTAGGCTGCACCTTCCCATCCCTCACTTACCTGATCTGTAGGCTGCACTTACCTGATCTGTAGGCTGCACCCCCATCTCTCACTTACCTGATCTATAGGCTGTCTCTCCCCCCCATCCCTCACTTACCTGATCTATAGGCTCTTTCCCCCCTCTCCCCCCAGTCCTCACTTACCTGATCTGTAGACTGTCTCTGCAGTCTAGGAGTTGCTGGCTGCATGTGCTGCTCCCCTGCGGATTCAGTCAGGAGAGAGAAGCAGGGATAAGATGTAGCTTCCCATCCCTGCTCTCTTCACACACAGTGCCAATATTGATATTGATATTTTCAATTTACTTTTTCACAGTTTAGCAATGATCTGTCTTCTCCTCCTCTTTATTTCCTCCTTCTCCCTCAGTATAAAAATCTCTCCTTACACCCACTTCACTCATTCCCCATCCATATTTACAAAAGCCCCTCTCTGCTACACCCCCCCTTCTCTCATCTCACCTTGCACTCACTTTTCTACTCACTCACTCCTACCCACAATCAATCTCAACCTAGACCCCATGCATACAAAACCCATTCACACCTCCTGTCATTTTCTCTCCTCCTGCTTCTAGCAGCTGGTGATGTCTCTCTTAATCCAGGGCAATTCACCTTCTCTACACACACTAAGAAAACCAGAAACTCCACAAACCTCATCACAATACTCTGCCCTTTACGCTCATTTACCAACATTCAGTGTGCACTATGGAACGCCCACTCCATCTGCAGTAATTTAAAATCAACAGCCATACACGACTTTTTCATCTCAAACTCACTCACACTACTTGCACTTACAGAGACCTGGCTGTCCCCCTCTGATAGCGCTACTCCTGCCTCTTTATGTTTTGGTGGGCTACAATTCTCTCACACTCCCAGATTCAACTGTAAAGGAGGTGATGTAGACATCCTTCTCTCCCCTCAATGTACCTTTCAACCAATCATAACTCCCCTTGCCCTATCCTTTTCTTCTTTTGAAGTTCACACTGTCCACCTATTTAAACCTTGACTCTTGACTAGTGTCTCTGACTGCCTCTCTGCTATTTCTAACTGGATGACTGCCCACTTCCTTAAACTCAACTTGACCAAAACTGAAATTCTGGTCTTTTCTCCCTCAAGCGTTGCTACTCCTGTGTCTGTCTCCCTCCAAGTCAACAGTGCTAACATCAGCTCCACCATGCAGGCTTGCTTCCTGGGTATTCTCTTTGGCTCCAACCTCTCCTTCACACATCATGTTCAATCTATCACCAAATCCTGCCGCTTCCATCTCAAAAACATTGTGCGCTAGTGATGTCGCGAACCGCCCGAAACGCCATTGACTTCAATGGGGAGGCGAATTTTAAAACACACAGGGACTCTTTCTGGCCACAATAGGGATGGAAAAGTTGTTTCAAGGGGACT